CTATCAGACTCAATCTCAGTATTTGGTTAAAAACAGCTACATAGGCAGCAAGTGCTACTGACTAATTTCCCTCCTTCTGACCAGCAATTCTGACCTGATCATAGTCCACGTGTCAGGTGGTATTCAGATTTAAAATATAAAAATACAAAGATACTTTAAATAAATATATTACAATATGATATACGTTAAAACAGTGGTTTGGTTTATAAGGTTTCTTTTGGAGGTTAAAACATCTTTTATGAGTTTTATCTTATATTTTTAATGTAAAAAACTCCAGATTTAACTCTTGTTAATGTACTTTATTCTTTAAAATATTTCAATCGACAAGTTGAACAACTTATATCTTTGAAAGTGGCTTCAATACATATACCCAAATATATATATATACTTACCTTTGTGACTGTAATTCATTTCTGGTGATGTTAATCTAATTAACAAGAAAGAAAACAACAGTTTCATCATTTAATATATCCTACCAATATTCTTCCTCAGTAACATTAAGTAATGTCTGTAAATATTTTAAATACATGAAAATATAATTCACTATATTAGAAATATTTGTATTAAAAATTAATGAAAATAACTTTAACCAATCAAACAACAGGAAAAATAATACAATGGAAAGTAAGATTTTCAGAAAGAATACTGAGTTGCTGAGCATTTTTTATTTCATTTATTTATTTGATACTAAAAACTACTGACGTTAAAGTAAACAAACATGTTTTAACTTTCTATTCAATTAAAGTACTGAGAAAGAACATAAAATCAATAAACAAATCTTGACAATAAATTAAACTGATTGTAGCAAAAATCTTCCCTTCTTTCTTCAACTAAAACAATGGTAAAAACATTATTGTAAATACATGTATTTACTTCAACAAAGTTCCACTTCCGATGAGGTTTTAGCATACTCAGTTCATTGACTCCCTCCTTTCCAGTGATTCTGTCTGGTGTGTCATATGTTGTTTCAGAGCTGTGTGTTTCTTTTTTACTTGTACTTTGCATCCTGACTTTGTGCTCAAATGCCACATTCAACAGATCAATAGGAAGATGACGTGGTAGAAATCTAAGAAAATGTATTTCTGTTTTGAATGAGATAGAAGAGATTTAACTTTAGGGAAACTGGCTTTAAAAACATACTGAACTTATTTATAAATAACATTTATTGTAATCTGGCCATTCACACAAATAACGTAAAATATGATAATAAATAAACTCACCTATCGGCCAAGTAGGCCAAGATGACTGAATCAAGACCACCAGAAAACATGACTGCTATTGGAGCATGTACACATACTGGCATCTTTTTTCTTTCTTTCCTTGTCATTTCTTTGCTTTTATCAGTATCATTGCTAATTAAGTTACACAAACAATCTTTGCATAAAAGTGGTTGGTTTAAAACACGTAATTTAACAGCTTCTGCTAATACTTCAATAAACTGGCTAACAAGGGATTTAAATTTGTTTATCCTTAAATAGCTAATAAATATTTTGTCCTCTAAAGAAGAACTTTCCAGAGTAGATTCTACATTATAACTATTTAGGTCCATTTGGTCAAGTTGCTTAGAAACACTCTCTTTATCTTCATTATCTTTTAAGGAACCGATGCCACTAAGACGTTTCAATTGTCCACAATCAACTGGAGATACTACGACCACATCCTCTAATCGTGGTTCAGAATCATTCAGACAACACTTAAGTGGTGACAAAACCCATTGTTCAGATGTATAACTATGAAAATCCATAAAGTTTCCTTCACTAACTTCTCCTGATGTCCAATCACTAGCTTTTCCAGATACCGAACAATTCCATGAATATTTTGAAATATTAATATTTTTTTCAAGATTTTTTTCATTCAAGTCAAGACAATATAGTCCATCAGCAGGAACCTCTTTCCATGCCTTGGAAAAAAAATATCATTAATATATAGGAAAAAAACCTGAAAGTATAAATAATACCAAAGTCAAACTTACAAACTTATATAACATACAAAACATAAACAGTCGTTTATGGTGTTTTAACAGTGTAGCTGCTCAAGTCCCAACAACCCACTATTCTTGAGTGTGGTATATCCACCTACAAACTTATATAACATACAAAACATAAACAGTTGTTTATGGTGTTTTAACAGTGCAGCTGCTCGAGTCCCAACAACCCACTATTCTTGAGAGTGTAGTATATCCACCTACAAGCTTATATAACATACAAAACATAAACAGTTGTTTATGGTGTTTTAACAGTGTAGCTGCACAAGTCCCAACACCCACTATTCTTGAGAGTATGGTATATTCACCTACAAACTTATATAACATACAAAACATAAACAGTTGTTTATGGTGTTTTAACAGTGCAGCTGCTCGAGTCCCAACAACCCACTATTCTTGAGAGTGTGGTATATCCACCTACATACTTATATTGGATATACGATACTGTTATAGAGCACAAGAAAAGTGAGTTGTTGGGACTTGAGCAGCTGCACTGTTAAAACACCATAAACAACTGTTTATGTTTTGTATGTTTTATACGTTTGTAGGTGGATATACCATACTGTTATAGAGCACAAGAAAAGTGAATTGTTGGGACTTGAGCAGCTGCACTGTTAAAACACCATAAACAACTGTTTATGTTTTGTATGTTGGTGAACTGAATTAACTTAACAACTACATCGGATACATCCACTTGTTAACTAGAGGTTTGATCAAGTTATCAATTACAGAGTAATACTATAACTCTTACTGAATTATAGAGTAATTACCGACTGGATAATTACTGGATAGGTGTAAATGAAAGAAGGAGATTGGATGCAAAGTGAATTGCAAAATTCAACAATCTTTGTTATAGAATGTAATATAAATACTGTTGTGTGTGTGTATACCTGCTTACACATTTCAAACAATTTGGATCATCATTTACACTAAACTAACTATTGATGATCAAGGTCTACTAGACTATTTTCAAAGATGTTCTAGCCCAGACTGCCAACACCAAGGCTTCTTAGTTTCAAAGAAGCCTCGCATTTAGAAAACAATCCCATGGGAATGGACATTGTCATTACAACACAGGTGGGGGCCATAACACCTAGCTATCACCCAAACAACTGGTGAAGAACAGTGCTTCTGACATCTTCACATACCATTGTGTATTAAGCAATTCTCTTCACGGGTATTTTCTTGTGGATCACGTTCAAACTAAAGAACAGCTACCAAGATTATGGATTGTTTCTGTGGAATATGAAATCATAACTCTGTAACAGTAATATAGATCATTTGGCTGAAAAGTTGACCACTTCATTCCTTTTCTGTTACAGAACTTTTTACCATTTCTTTGTATTTTTCACATTTTATTATGCTGTAAATTGTTTATTATTTGTGTTACAAAACTGATGGTACATCTTCAGAGTTAGACAAAAATTAAACTTCTTAAATGAAGGCTGTAATTGTGCATCTGTGGTATTAACCATATCATTTTTTTTTACATAAATCTTGGGTAATCTTTATTTGCTTTTCATGACTAGTTTACTCCTTACTGTATACCATGACAGTGAGAGAGGCCACCTTGATGCAACTCAGGAGTGCTTTAGTTGAGTGAAATCTTTTCTTGTTACATGAAAGATGTAGCTGCTCTCAAACTACTTTTATTACTTTGTTGTTCTCAGACTCCTGAAGAGAAAACAAAATTGTAAAAATCATTGAAGAAACTATCAAAAACAAAATAAAAACAAAGAATTAAAATAGCTACAGCATATCTTTCAGCATCCCTATACTAGAAAAGTTGCACACTCAGTCTTCTTGAAATATTAGAGAACAACATTACAGTACCACAAAGATGTTTCTAATCTAATGTACAAAATTATCGGTTATGCATACCCTGTCTTCTAAGCCAACTGAGCACAGGGAAAATGTACCTAAGTTGTTTATTTCATTTTTCCACAAGAGACTTCTCCTTCCAAAAATGTCTCGACCAAACCATAAGCACTTTGTATCTTCCTACATCATAAACAAGAATGAAAAACAGATTTTTCACTATTAGTAATTCTATTACTAAACTTAATGATATGTAAATAAATATAAATTAAAGAGTCTAGCACTGGGAAGTGATACTACAATGTTACATTTACTTGTTCTTAACCCAGCAGTTCGACATCATATAATAATAAAATACTCAATTTTTTACAAAAATTATTCTTGTCTGAATGCGTAACAGTACTCTTGACAAAACGAAACATAATGTTTATCTTCACATAATCCAGTTTTTAACTTGTATTTACAGTCATTGTGATAAAACAAGAGACCTTTGAGAGGAAAGAAAATTTAAGGTTTTGGCAGTTTTATGTAGTCAATGGTAGAAATAAAAAATAAAATTTTATTTCAGAAATTTCATCATACTTTAGCAATACTAAAATCAGTTAAAACCTAAACATATATAAATCATCTTGTTCTTTAGTTGATAAAAAAAACAGCAAAGTTAAAATAAAGTGAAATATATAAACCATCTTGTTGTTTAGTTGATAAAAAAAACATCAAAAGTTAAAATAAATTAACAGTATCTTATAATTGAGATATATTAAAAATTACATTACTTCTAAATTACAAAATTGAAACTTATACCTGAAGAATAGTAAAAACTGACAAAAAAATCCAGTAAATGGTTATGTTTGTTAAAGATTACTTTTTGATTTTGTCTCAATGAACTAAACTCTCTCAAGTATAAAACAGTTCACAGCTTCAAAATATTTAGGGTATATTTTTTGTACAACACTTAGAATTATTTTGTTTTTGATCTTTACATACAAAGATAGTCATGTTAACACACATTACACCAAAAAGACATTTCACATAATGTCATATAAATCTTTATCCATGACACTCAATACCAAGATGGTCTGATGACAGCTGATATATATCAAGGTACAAATCCATTCTATGACACTTATAACCAAGTACGGCTGATGACAGCTGATATATATCAAGGTACAAATCCATTCAATGACACTTATAACCAAGTACGGCTGATGACAGTTGATATAGATCAAGGTACAAATCCATTCAATGACACTTATTACCAAGTACGGCTGATGACAGCTGATATATATCAAGGTAGAAATCCATTCAATGACACTTATTACCAGGCTGGACTGATGACAGTTGATATAGATCAGAGTACAGATTCATTCAATGACACTTATTATCAAGCTGGGTTGATAACAGTTGATATATATGAAGGTACAAATCCATTCAATGACACTTATTACCAAGCTGGGCTGATGACAGTTGATATACATGAAGGTACAAATTCATTCATTGACACTTATTATCAAGCAGGGTTGATAACAGTTGATACATATGAAGGTACAAATTCATTCAATGACACTTATTATCAAGCTGGGTTGATAACAGTTGATATATATGAAGGTACAAATCCATTCAATGACACTTATTACCAAGCAGGGCTGATGACAATTGATATAGATCAACGTATACAAATCCATTCAATGACACTTATTACCAAGTAGGGCTGATAACAGTTGATATATATCAAAGTATAAATCCATTCAATGACACTTATTACCAAGTTGGACTGGTGACATTTGATATATATCAAGGTACAAATCCATTCAATGACACTTATTACCAAGCTGGACTGATGACAGTTAATATAGATCAAGGTTCAAATATTTACAATTCACTAACAAAATATGTTAACAAAATATAAAATTAAACAAAGTACATTCTTATAATGGTAGTTTGATAAACTGGCTGGTCAGTGTGATACATACACAAGGGTTGATAAAAAACCAAAAATGGACACCATGTTTCTTTGTTGTCTGTCTTACGTTTTACTACTGATGAAAATGACTTTTTTTATTCTATTTTTGTTAAAGAAGGAGTTGTTTTAAAAAAAGATTGGTATACTTGTAGAGTGTAAAAAGTACTGGCTGATGCGTGCTATTAGTTTGCATCCTTTTAAACTTATATTTCTTAACCGTTTTGGGAAGCCACATCCATTCAGTTTACAGAATGGGTCCTTGCACCCCTTGTCTTTAAGGATTTGTTAATAGTTCCCTCTTACATTGAATTATATAACATCTATAACCAATAGAAAGTCCATGTTTCCATCTATCAAATGACGTATTACATTATATTGTGTTCTGAACAGATAGATGTCAATAACAGGAGCTTCATTCCCGTCAGAACTTTAACGACTAGCTTGGAAGAATTTGTAATGGCTATTGTTGCATAGTTACGGTTGAAAAGTATAGAAAGTTTTCTATCAATCTGCTATCAAGTGATCTCAGGAGGCTGAAACCCTATTTGTAATGGAAACACTGAAAGGTTTAGCACCCCCATAAATGACATTTCACACCCCTAAGGGGGTAGGTGCACCACAGGTTAAAAAACACTGTTTTATTTGATAGATATAAATAGAAGTAATAGTAAACTTGGCTTTGATTGGTTTTTTGAAGGGTGAAGGGTTGATCTAGATAAACCAGTCGATCTTCTGTTACCTTGATGGTGGTGAAGTTTGTTTCTCTATCTAACTAAAAAGCAATGTCATCAGCTTTAAAATATATTTCATCTAAAATCTTATACTGTTGATTAATATTAATTCCACCTACATGTACAGAAAAACATAATTAACTTCAGATAGTATACAAAATAATATTATTAATTTCAAGAAATACTTATTAAAAATCATGATACAATGAAACAACGTTTCAGTGAATGTTGAAATACTTATTAAAAATCATGATACAATCACTCAACGTGTCAGTGAATGTTGAAATATTTCTCATGATACAATCACTCAACGTGTCAGTGAATGTTGAAATACTTCTCATGATACAATCACACAACGTATAAGTGAATGTTGAAATACTTCTCATGATACAATCACTCAATGTGTTAGTGAATGTTGAAATACTTCTCATGATACAATCACACAACGTGTAAGTGAATGTTGAAATACTTCTGTTTTTAGGTTAATAAAAATTCATACGTACCTGCCAGTAGATAAATGACCATGGTCCTTTGATGCTGCTTATTACTTTTATAAAACCTTCAGAACATCTTACATCTGATAAACATTTAGAAAGTCTTGCTGTATCACACTCCTCATCATCTACCTTAAAAAAAAGGAAAATGTTATGTTTTCAATTCACTTTAGGTAAAAATAAAATTTCTTAGTATTTAGTTTTTAACTTTAATTACTCGTCATTCAGGCTTATATCCTTCCTATCTGGTTGGAGTTTATACACCAGTTAGTTAACAAGTTTACTTGCTCAGAAAAATATACCCAGTAACAAGCATTGGATTAATTTACATCTAAACCGATGTAACATATTGGGATTTAGATATTATTACTCGTTACCTGATGATGACAAAACCTTATTGAAATGTTGTAGGTTTGTTAATATGTTAAACTTGTAATAAAGTTTTTCTCATTACTCGTTCAAGCCATTCTAATGATTCTGAGAACACAAAAATTTATTTGATGTCATGATTATTCAACAGGAATAAAAACAATTTTCATTTCTTTGCTTTCACTACAAAACTATCACTATATTTTATATTAGTTCTAAAGTCTCAATAGTATATGTAAGTTATATTGAATGAAGTTATGTTGAAGTAGGTAGAGAAAACTGTTTTTGTAAGTGAAAACAATTATTAGCTTTCCAATGTAATGTAAAATATGTATAAAACTGATATCTTGTACAGATGTTCTAGAAAACCACCTGTTTCAAAAAGAGAATTATACTGTTGCATATCTGCTTGTTTGTCCATTTCCTGTATAAATTATTTCTGAGAAACTTCAGCGATACAAGTCATTTCTTGATTAACCTAGTTTATTCTTCCTCGATACAAACTTTTAATACACAGTAATTTCACAGTGAGTACGTACCTCGTCACTCTAAACTTAACACCTTTTATAACACACTCTATAAATGACAGTGATTCACACACTTTACTTATGGTGCCAACTGTTCGCTCGACTCAATTATCTATCTGCCGCTGGCTTTCTTTGCCAGGCTTATATATACTAAAAAAGAGGGCATCTAGATCACACTCGAGCTGGCGGGGAAATTCATGATCCTTCAAGAAACTCCAGTGCTCCCAGCGTCGCATGACTTCTGCTGTCGTAACAATACCAAACTACAGCACAAATTTGTTACAATGTAAAAAAAGTAATTTTTTAATTCAACATAATGAATATACATATCAAAGTTTTTATCATCTGACTTATAAAACTGTTTTATTTCCTATTCACTTTTGTAAAGCTTCTAATTTTAATCATAAATTAAAATTACTGTACAGACGCTGATGCACAACACAACACTAAATCAAGCTTACGTCACAACTAAAAAGTTAGTCTTGTAAATACACAATAAGCACCAGAAAAAATGGTAATTCAAGTTATGAATGATAGAATATATTTAATGAGATTTAAAATATGTAAAACTTAAAAGATTCACAATAGGATAGGAATTACCTCTAATCCATGAAATATTTCGCCATTCCATAAAAGAAGATTCCCATAACTATCTTCATAAGGTTGCTGCACAACAGATGTTCCTCTAAGATGTAAAACAGATGCAAAAAATATGGCTTTTACTTTATCTCTGATATAAATTATCTTAGAACTACTAGCATCTGGACCCCGTCTCTTCAAAATACTATCCTGAAAAAAAAAAAAACCATTTAAAAAGGTATTTACAAATTTTCATAACGACAATCACTCCACACATAAGTTAGGTTAATAATTATATATATATTATTGCACTTTCCTAAGCCTAAATTGAAACTTATGTCATTCCAAAATGTATGTATTTATAATTATCATGGTTTTGATTTTAAAAACTTAGTACAAGTGATAAACCACCATCAATAAGACTACATTTCATTTTCTATATCTTTGTACAAAATTAAAATACACCAAAGCTCATTAAGAGGGCAATGTTATTATAATCCATTGATTGTTTTCATTATAAACAATAAGTAGAGTATATAAATGCTATAAAAACCATTACACAATATGTTACCATTGTTAACGTTTTTGTTGTCAATAAGATTCAATATCTACATCTAGTATTTGGTAATGTTAAACATGTAATACACCTAAAAGAAGTGTTACATGCATCAACTTTCATTGATTTCGGTATACAGTGTCTAGCATCAACTTTCATTGATTACAGTATACAGTGCAAATAATGACTTCACTGTAATGAATAAAACAAAGATGATATACATTTGTAATAACAAAACAGAACAAACTTGTTTTATGTGCCTTTACTTAATAGCAAGTTCTAGACACATTTACCTTGTGTATTTTTATTTCATTTTCATCTGTATTTAGTTTGAGCCGAAGCTTTATTTAAACTATTTCAGTGTGTCAGATTCTTATGGAATTTGGCATAAAAGGTTAGAAATAGATATAAAATGTGCCCACTGGTAAAAAGTCACAAGCAGTGATAACTAAACACCTTTCTGGAAGATTGAGGCTAGTAGGGTTTCTTGGGGGTTTGTTTTGAGACCTTCGTTGTTATATGTATGATTGTAACAGGTACTTGTGTAACAATGTTCTGATTACACAAAGGTGTTGATTTACTGATTCTGTGGAGAGTTTTCTTTAATTCATAGCAAACCACAGAAGAAGACTGGCATGTAGAGGAATAGGTTTACAGCTATGAAAAAAAAAAGACAGAAAGACGAACACTGTAACCACTTGTAAGACTTTAATAAAGTCTCTTTCAAAAATACTGGTTTAACTTTTTGGTCACATTATTACAGAATACATAAATAGACTACTAAAAAACTATCTATTATAAAAATCATGACAATAAAATCCAGAAGAAAATATTTATTATAAACCTAACATTTTGACTTCCACCTTTCTCAATACTTATGTGTCTACCATTGTCAACATTTCAATTCAAATATGTTATAGTCCTATGTTATTTTCTACATCATATGAACTGCAAGCTCAACAACAGTCGACAATTAACTAGTGAAAAAGATGGAAGCCAAACCATTAGATATTAATAGTTTTTCTTCTGAATTTTGTTTTTGTGATTTTGATAATGATTTCTAATTCTAACTCCCAATCTATATTTAAACAACTAAACTAATAAAAAGATATATACTTGAAAAAACTTGAATTATGTAAATCTAGGAATTTTTTTCTCTTTAGATTATACAACTAGAAGTGACTTGGTTTTGGTGTTTGAAATTATTAAGTACTTGGATGAAGTGTTTAATTACACAGACATACATATCACAGTTTATTCTGTGCCTTTTCCTTTTAAAAATACTAGTCTGATGAAACTTTTTCTTCACTTACCTTTATGTGAGTGCAATGACACACACAATTAATGGTGCTCCTGCTTTTTTCATTGCTAGGAACAGACACATGAAGACAGGCATATATTCCACACATCATGGAGGAAATCTATGAAAAAAAACAACTTTGAATACAAATTACATGTACATGCCACTTAACAAAGCACAGATTTGATAATTTAATCAAATTACTGATATATTCTGTAAGTCAAAAGGAAGAACAGAACCTATGTTATATCTGAGGTAAAAACCGTAACTTACATTAATTTAGTAACAAACATTTGATTCAAATCAATACTTAAAAGAACATCTCTGACAAGTGTCAAAATACATTAAAAATATCTTTTAAGATTTTTTATATCAAGGAATATGCAGTGATATCAGATAAAAAACAGTTAAAAACATTTCAAAGACTATTACATCAGAGGCGCTAAAACAAACTATCTCACAAACAAATGATTTATTGTATATTTATATACATGTGTCTGTTTAGTTTGTTCCTGCTCTTCAGGATGAAGTGGTTCTCTTGTATATCATATTCTTATTGTATGACAATGTGTCATAGTTGAAACAGCTACTAATGTTAACATTTTCCTTACCTGAAAATGCATTTCCAATAGATACTCATCTCTACACACCTTCCTCTTGAGTTTATGCATTCTGCCCAAGAGATTTGCAAGCCATTAGCCTTGTGAAAACTCCCACCTAATGAAGACATCATCATGCAGCAGAACCCTCCACCAACAGGAGTGCAACATTCCTCCTTGCACAATAACTCCCTCTAAATTCATGCTCGTGAATCCTCAATCTATGATGAATCAATGATTAAATGTGCACCAGAAAAGTGGGGAGAATGGGTGGGAACATGGGCAGAGGTTATTATCTATCAGAAATACATTTTTCACATAAGGCAAATGTTAACTTCCAAAACAATACCTCACCTCCATAGGGTACCATAGAGGCACACACCCATGGGAGACTGCATCTTGTCTCATCCAGGTAATACTCTTTACCCATGCAGAAGAATAGAAGTGACAAAAAAGCATAAAAGTGTTACAAGGACAGGTGGAACAGATAGATGACCATCTGAGAACTCACATACAAGCTGTCAGAAAGCTAATACATGTAGTGAGGTTGTGGTTCATGCAGACCATACCTTGTGTGCTCACCTCCTCTACCATCAGACTCCACAAGTCAAAAAAAGCTGAGAAAAGGGTACTTGTGTTAAGTATTCATGCTCACCTCTTCTACTGTCAGTCTCTACAGGTTTCATTCCAGCTGCAGGAGGAGATCATTATGTGGGATCGTGTCTGTATGGATACCAATATAAACCTCTACTTGACCATTAGTCACTACAGACCCCTTACCTACTGTGGGAGTAGGGTATGTGTTACATCACTGGTGTATATGTGTTCATATCAACTCTACTGTCAGTCTCTAAGGGTCCTATGCCAGCTGCAGGAGTAGGGTGTGTGTTATATCACTGGTGTATATGTGTTCACCTCAACACTACTGTCAGTTTCTAAGGGTCCTATGCCAGCTGTAGTAGTAAGGTATGTGTTTCATTATTGTTGTATATAATGTGTTCACCTCAACTCTACTGTCAGTTTCTAAGGTCCTATGCCAGCTGCAGGAGTAGGGTATGTGTTACATCACTGGTGTATGTGATGTGTTTACCTCAACTCTACACACCTGCTGCAGGAGTGGGGTGTAGTTGTTTGTTTTGTCAGTATGACATGGAATGGACTGGTAGTAGAGGTAGCATCAGGCCACTTGAAGATTGTGATGTACCATATGTACATATATGAGGTTACCTGCACTACACTCCGATGTCACTTCTCACTGTAGAAGGGTCCCTTGTTAAGTCCCACTTTGTGAAGATTCTCCATGATCCACCACCCAAGCTTCTGGGAGCTGATAAGTGGCAAGGGTCTCCTAATGAAAAAGTGATGTGTGAGATTGGATCAGAAGGGTATTATGTAAGGAATGGAGGGGCTTTGACAAGAAAAGATGGATTTTGGACACCAAGGTTGGGTTTGTCAGTGAGAGGCCAGCAACATGATCCTGCACAGGGTGTTCTAAATCAGAGAAAGGATCCAGGAGTGGAGGCAGAGGGAAGAACAAGAAAAAGATGGCACCAAACCTGATGAAAGGCAGAGACAGAGTAGTAAGTCAAGAGTAGATCAATAGATGATGTTAAGGGACCATTCTGTGTGTGTGATGTGGTCTCATCCAAAAAGACAGCCTGTGACAATGTTCAGTGAACTTGAAACATGACTGTTTATGAAATTCATCCAAGTGGAATGGAGAAGGTCCAAAGTCAAGAAGCAGGGGGACCTTGATAGGGTCTCCCCTTGGCAGTTGATATGAGACAAGGCAGTGGATCTAACCAAATGGATCAGAACTAATCAACCAATAAGGAGAGGGAAGAATTGTGGGGATGCGTAATGTATAGCAAGCAGGTTGAAGGCATGATAAGTACAGAATGTCCCTCCAGGGACCAAGAGCCCAAAGTTAGACCATCAATCACAGACATATCTAATCCTGAAAGAGAAACACCATATATAGGTGAAGGTCCAGACTGGAAGGAGGTAAGGGAACACCAGAGGTGGTAGTAGAGAGGTCTAGCTGTCAAACAAGATCCTCCAGAAGAGAAGGTGGATTTATGAGGCTGGTGGAACCATGATAAGGTTCCACTGGTTGCACAAAATCCACTGTAGGGGGTGTATATGTGCACAACCAAGTAGAATGAGAGGTTCCAGATGAACCATTGGCCCCAATGATGACTGGGTATTAAAAGTTTTGTAGGAGAATGGGAGAAGGATGGTGTCAAGTTTTTGTATAGGTCTGCATTCTTTTCAGTAGGTGTCTGTGAATTGTTTGTGTAAGTGTCAAGTATAAATGGACAGTACACAATCCACTTATTTTAAGATAATATATATTCAAAATAAGTGAAATGTTTGTACCGAAAATTCATTACATTATTGTTTACCACAGTTGAATCTAGAGCTTTAACTAATTCACTTTTTCATCAAAAGTCCACACAGGCTGGTTCAGTTACTTTAGAATCCAATTGACAAGATAAATTATTCTTCTCTAAATCTGTTGTTACAATACAAACTGTGAAACTTTCACCTTAGAAATCACCCGCTATGGCTAAACTGATAATTGTGTAGTCTAACTTCACTTTTACTTTTCTCTAACTTACTTTAACCTTCTTTCTTACTCTCTGTATTTGCACTTATCTATAACGTGCGACAGAAAAATATAGAAATATTTAGCATTTTATTGATAATAATATTCACATAATGAGAAAAACTTAGAAGCTTCAAGAAAGATGACATCAACAATATTACAAAAGCCTAGTACAGCAATTAAACTACATACACAATGTGTGACTCCTACAAAGCTATGTAACAAACTATGAAAACTAAATAATCATTAAATATTAGATCACTAAATAAACTAAATAATAAATCTTATACTAAACAGTCTTGTATATCCAGCAGAGTTATATTTAATATATTAGAAAATTATTTAACTATGGTGATTTATTTTTATGCCATTAACCAATAATGCATTCATGATGTTCAAGAAGTCTTGATAGAAATGAATAAAAACCCTATAACCTGAGCATTTTTTAAAGGTGAACCTTTCTTCTTCAGGGGCAAACTGGGAATGGTGGTGTAATCAAATGACTGATGAGTTTAGTGATGTCATGAAAGTCATCCGGTTTTCCATTTCCAGTACAGTGTAGCCAATAGTGAAAGTGTATGTGGAAAGGTGTTAGGAATATTTTTACTTTAGAAATGGATAAATATATGTATATTTAAAACTATACTTAAGTGTTTAAGTAAAATAAAGGTGACACTTGGAGACTGATTGAAAATGATATGCTATGATAATCAATTTATAAAACAGGTATGGAAAATTATCTTGAATAAATAGTAAATTTTAGGAAATTCAGCATTCACATTACATGAAAAAAATAAGCAGAGAATAAAAATTATTTTTCTGACAGAGATGAAACCAATGAATGGAGGTCACTGATTCCAGGTTCTAGATTAATTCCAAAAGGTTGAACAGTGTTAGATTAGCAATCCAATAAGCTTCTTTTATTCCTCTATCTGCCTTAGTTTTGAATCCTATTTCAATGCCGATTAGAGTAACATTGATGATGGAATGACTGGGTTGGTTAAAGTGTTGAGCAACAGGGAGATCTTTTTCGGTGTTAATAGAAGATTTATGGTTGTTGAAACGTTCTCTAAGAGTTTTTTGTGTTTGTCCTACATGATGGTAATTGCATTTTTACACTGTATAAGGTAAATGTTTTTTTGTCTTAAAAGTGATTTATTTGGATATTTTAAGTTTCTATGATTGTGCTTGTCAGAAAATGAGTCAGTGGTTTTTATGAACTTGCAAGTTTGACAACAGGCTTTATTACATGGACGACAAACATTTTTGGGTGAGATGCAATTTACTTTTGTGTGAACAAGGATATCTTTCAGAGTTCTGCTTCTTTAGAAGGAGACAACGGGAGCTTCATGAAATATCTGTTTAAAGCAATCATTCAGTTGCAGGAAATGTTTTTTCAAATTTGTCAAACGTTTTTGAGTTTAAATTGATAGGTAATAATACGAGTAATTCTATTTGAAGGTTTAGTATTGCTCTGATTTAGGATGTTTTTTCTGCTGAGTGTTGTTAGCCTTTTCAATTTGTCTGTCGATTTTGATATCTTTATATCCTCTTTGTAACATGTTTTGTTTTATATCCTTGGTATGTTTTCTGTAATCTGTTTCATCTGAGCATATTTTCTTTATTCTAAGAGCTTGACTGTAGGTAAGGTTTTCTTTAGTGTGAGAGGGGTGACAGTTTTTATAGTGAAGGTATTATGGTCTGTCTGTAGGTGTTTTGTAAAAGTCAGTGTGTAAAATTCTGTCTTTTAGAAAAACATGACGTCAAGAAAGTTAATCTGGGTAGGCAAGTAATCACAGGTAAACTTGATTGTTTTGTGAAAGGAGTTTGCATGTGAGATAAATTCTTTAAGTGATTTAAGACCGGCTGTCCATATGAAAAATATATTGTCTCTGTAATGTTTCCATGTATGAGGTTTTACAGGGCTTAGTTGTAAAAGCGGGTTTTCAATATGACCCATAAAAATGGTGGCATAATTGGGAGCCGTTTTGGTACCCATTGCAGTACCATTAACCTGAAAGTAATACGTTATTGAAATCGAAGATACATATACTCTCTCACTTATGGACTGATAAAGGCCCAGTGGTTACTTTGGATCTGAGATTTAATGATTAGTGCCCCTTTACCACCAATAATAAAAATAAAATCATGACATGCTTTGTATTCTGGAGCTGTAGGTGCTAAACTCACAATCATGCAGTCTAACTTTACCTTTACTTTCACTAACTTAACTAACTTACTTTCTGTATCTGCACATATTTATAACATGTGACAAAACAATCTAGAAATGTCTAGTCCTCTACAATATTAAACATAACGAGAACGACTTAGAAGCTTCAAGAAAGATGATATCACCAATATTACAAAAGCCTAGTAGAACAATTAAACTATATACACAACGTACGACTCATACAAAGTTATATGGCAAAACTTGTCATAACTATTGCTTATAAAATAATTAACTTTTAACC